TACTCCCGGCGGATCTTAACCCTCTGATCGGCGTCTTCTCCGTTCCATGGAGGCCACCGGAAACCCCATTGGAGTGGGCCCCACGAGACCCGGAAGAGCCTCGCCCTCTGGTCCCTGATCCACGATTCCACTCGGCTCTGTATCGACTCCATTACCACCCTCTGGTAACGCGACTTTGTAATCAATCCCTATGCTTGCTCTAAAATCGAAACTCAATAACGCGGTAACTTCCGGAAAACGCGTGGAGTTTCGAAAATGGAAATATTGAAGGGTGGAGAGAGAATTGAAGGAGAAGGAAGCGCCTTAAAATGGAGTTATGTTATGTTTATGTAGTAGAGGGATGATGATTGATGAGTGAGAGACACTGCGCATCAAAAGGCATATGCGCCTCCATTGCTAAAATGTGGAATATTTGTCTATATTTATTGGGCCATATAAGTTGATATCCTAAATGGGTTTTAGGCCCATATTTTGTACGGAAAAACATATTAAGATTTCGCGCACTACTTCATTTATTTGTTTTATACTATAAACAAGATTTGTACTTAGTACTAACTATCTTCAGTTCGTTGTCGCCGGTCTATCAACACACTTGTGACCAAATATGTGTCACACTAACAATGTTGAAGTTTTATTAAATCATTTCAATAAATACTGAGGATAAGTTTAGAGGACAAACGATTCGTTTAAAATTTTAGATTAGTCGAGGAAAAAAAAAAATTAGATTAGTGATTTGTCGCCAAAATGTGTTGTTGAACTAGAGTAGCGATGAGAAACATAAAATGATGTTGCTTTGGGAGTTTTTATTGGATAGTATATCTAAAAAATATTCAATTCTACTTGGATTTATTTGATTTCAAAATTGAAAAACAAAACAAAAAACAATATCTATGTGAATCTACGGAGATAGTCCACTATACTGATACATTAAGCAGATAAGATGATCATAGACATGGTCCATACAATCCAATAACAATAACTCTGATGGGGCAAAGGAAAAAAAGTACAGTAAATGACTCTAGGACTAAAAAGGATAAAAAAAGTATGTGGCTCCATTATTGCGCGTAAAAAAGAAAGAGAGAGAAAATATCAAATTCAGAAAACGAATATACTACCCAACAAAACCAAAATTGCAAAATTCACCCCGAAATTTACGCTTGTCGTCGCCGACCCCGCATTCCCTGGAGCTCCCGCCTGTCCGGGAGTAGTCGAGCCACCACCGGTGGTCGGGCCCAGAGCAGAGCCTGGAGCGTCAGAGCCGGTGAATCTCAGAACGTCCTTGGAGGCCAAATTCGCCGCAGTGGAAGGATGCACTCCCGGAGTACCGCTGGTCACATTCCCGCCGATCTGCCACACCTGGTTCACGCTAGCGGCTCCCGCCGGGACCTTAACAGAGGTGAAAATCGCGATGCTGCCGTTGCTCATGGACACGGCGCGTAGATCCCAATATTCGAAGGCCAGCCTCCCTTCGGTGAGACTGTAGCCACTGATGTTGTACGTCTTCACGACGGGAGGCGCACCGGGTCCAGATCTGTAGGCGAGGAACGCCTGAGAACCGCTCATCCCAGTCGCCGTCGGATTGATAGCCCAAGCGACCCAGCCGTCGGATCGAGATGGAGTGGCGACGAAAGCGACGGAGAGTGATGAATTTGAGGCATTGTAACTGTAATGGAGGTAGGAGCTGAGTACCGGAAGGTCCAGGCAATTCTGGAATGGAGTTCTCGCGGCGGATTGTACGTTCTGTGTAGCGCAGGTTTGTGCGATCGCCGGTGAGATTAGAGAGACGAAGCAAGCTACGGCTAAGATTAGAATAATAGATGAATGAGAAGCCATCGCTGAGTTCTGCTGTTGTGTGGTGTGGTGTTTGATAAGAGTAAGACACATGGGACAATGTAAAGGTTTATATAGACGGTTAAGACCCTCAAATCATGGACTTTGATTCAGTGCACCGCTTCTACGATGAGGGAATCAGGGGAAGCCGTTAGGATGATGCCACGTGTTGAGTTGACCACTAGATAAGAAAAGTCACACGTTCACGATGTGAATTGGTTGTCTTGTTGAAAAACGTCGGAGATGATTTAATTAATAGGGAAGGAGAATTTTGGGTAGAGCATGTGGAGAGTGCGTGTTCTTGTGGAAGTTGACCGCAAGTGGCGTCTCTGATATTTTGTATTATTTGTCAACTTATTTTTCTTTTTTTTCCCCTTTTCCGTATATTGTCATCAGTCAAATCAGTTGAAATGTATTATTATACGTATTTGTTTATATGCATGACTTTTTACTTGCGATTCGCTGGAATTTCTCGTCGTATAAAAAATGATATATATATATATATATTGAAATCAAACAAAAGAAAATGGGATTTTTATCATGATATTCATAGAATATCAATATTATCTAAGAAATGTGAGATAGGAGATGAGAACGGAAATTTTTCGTTTTGTAAAGTATTTTTTGGCTGTAATCAACAACAAATTTCAAATTTGTAAAAGAATGTGTAGGGATGAATTTTTTATTTGTTTCCAAATTATCTTAAAAATTGAAAATAAAATATTTGTTTCCAAATAACAATGTCAATAATGTTGAACAAGGGTAATATCAGAATTTTCTTTAGGTCTTTTCATGTGAATTGGAAATGAGCCCAAATTTCATTTCTTTGTTTTTTTTTTTTTTTTTTGTTATTTAAGCTTGTTTTTTCTTAGTTGTTGGGCAACTTTGAATATATACCGATGCCCGTCTCCCTCAACTACTCTTTCCTCTCTTGTTCTCCTTTTAATTTTGGTTCTTTTTTTCTCTTTTAATTATTTACTCTAGAAAATCATTTTTATAATTATAATTAGGCCTTTAGACCCCAGTTGATCAAATTGTCATACCAAATGTCTGCAAATGTTCCCGGAATTCTCTTTTATTTAATATCTATAGGTGAAAAGTCGATCTTCTTTACGTTGATATAAGAATGGAAGTGGTCCTCTCTTTTTTTTCCGATATTTCATGAGATGTAGAGCAAAAAGATAAGAAGAGGACATAAAATGGTTGCTTACATAAGCATTATTGCATATGTGACGTTTATACAGCCCCTATGTGTTTCTTGTTCACGTGGTCTGTGGAAAATAAAAACTTCCCCTCCTATTTATAGTATACTCTTATCAGTCGGAATTTGAGATTATATAGAACTAAAAATTTAATATTTTTGCTTAGATATATAAGTATTTTTTTTATATCAAATTTCATACTTTTTAGCATTTTTTGTTGTATATCAGATATTTTCAATATTTTGAATAACCAAAATAAAAATTTAATTTAGAAACTAACCAAATGTTTAGAGAGAGATAGAGAGAGAGATTGGTTAGTTTGTAGATTATAGTTTTTTGGCTATTGAACCAAATTTCTCATATTTTAATCTATGTTTTTATCCCAAATAATAGTTATATGTGCCTTGTTTTAATAAATCTTGGCATTGGAAAATAAGTTATAAGAATGGAATTTGTAAAGTTCAAAAAAAAAAAAGAATGGAATTTGTCAACAATTGTGTGTCTCGATTTTTTGTTCTTTTTACATACGTGCTTACCTGTTTTGCTATTATTAGACACAAACTCGAGTTAACATTATACTTTTCCAAAAAAAAAAAATATTATACTTTCAAAATTGTTGTGTAAAAAAATTTATTCATTAATTTATGCTTTATACATACAGACTTATATGATATATATGAACTTTTTATATACGTTTTTATAGATCAAAATTTAAAAAGAAAAAGAATCATTGAGATCATCACAATTATCTCTTGTTAATTAATATAAACAGTCAACACCTAGTTATACCAAAAGTATTCGCAAATCCCATGCAGAAGAGAGTAAAGACGTAAGACAAAGGAAGCATCCGAATCAATGGGAAGAAGACTAGTTGAAAAAGGTTAGAAGAAATTGCACACGCTTTAGTCCTTAAATTCGTGTAAAGTCCCGTTTAAAATAATTAAAAAACGTCATTAGTCTATAAACCACTGTGTCTAGTAATCTCCGAATTTCTCACTATTTTTATGCGTGTGCTCGTCATTTCCATGTTTACTATATTTCTTGTTCTGCGTTTCAGAAAGTTTCACATATACAAATATACTTATTGTATACTTCTCGAGATTTAAATTAATGATCCATTACTAATCGTACTGTACTTACCCAGCGTCGCTAATTCAATTGTATGAACCTGAAGTCAGGTTTGAGAGAAGAGCCATATTCAAATTTTTAGAACCTGTGGAAATAAGACCAAGTAACTTACCAATTTTGATCTCCCATTTGAAATCTGTACAAACCTGATTAGACGTAGACGACATATATACAATTTTAAGATACAGAGGTCAACACTTTTTTTAGCATGGATAGCCTTAATTGATTATTAAATTTACATTATTTTAAGCCGGTTCTATTTGGGCCAATAACTGTTTCAACTCAGGCTTGCGGCCCATATCACGTTGTCCATGTTCTTAAGAAACTAATTAGCCAGTGCAAGTTTTATTCAGTAGGTAACGTCGTTGTAAATCTTCTTTTTACTAATGTGCATGTGCTAATCATCAGGCTGAAATCTTAGTTGATTATGAAAATGCCAAGTATTAATCATGATCGGATGCATGCAACTTCAGATAGCAACAAGATGATTGTATTGCAAGTTTTTAGTTAAACAATTTATAATGACCCAAGGACCGGTTTAAAACAACAAAACCTCACAAGGATAAACGCGACGCCGTTTTGAAAATTAACTAGACGACCCGGATTTTGCCCCAAGTCTTTTCAGGCTGACCCGGCAAAGAGTCTTCGATTTTCTTTCGATAACCGATGATGATCGTTTTAAAATTTCAGTGACCTTTGCTTTTCTTCTCTCCTTCCTTGTGAAATTTCGCGGCTTCTTCTCGTCTGCAAAACTCCGGGAGATTCCACGCACGCGTCGCCGGAGGAAGATAGAGAGGATTAGGAAAGGAAAAGCGATTCAATTCTGTCGGATTGGCTTAGATGGTAACAGGCGCGGTCTCCGCCATGGCGGCAAATCAAGCCGAGCGTTTAAAGGAAGACGGTAACAGTTGCTTTAAGAAAGAACGTTTCGGTGCCGCCATTGACGCTTACACCGAGGTACATGCTTCTCACTACCTTTTCACTCTCCTTCTCTCATTTCATCGTTAGGGTTTTGTTTTCTGGGGGTATCCCTATAATTTGATTTAGATCCGCGTGGAGAAATCAATCTTTGGATAGGATCTCGATATTGGAAAATTCGCTTATAATCGAAGCATAATATGATCAAAATTCGTCTTAGATGGACTGTATTCGAGAAAATACAATTGCTTATAGTGTTTACAGTTGGATTTGAGGATTCGTTATGCGTTCATCGATAATGTATCAGTTTGCAGAAATGTGTTGACGTTATCGAGTAGCTACGATGACTTATTCATTTACATATTCTTGATTTTCTTACGACCTTTGTGTGATTTTAAAGGCGATAACCTTGTCTCCGAAGGTTCCAGTATATTGGACAAATCGAGCTCTTTGCCACATGAAGCGAAAGTATGTATGTTCTATACTTTTGATCAATTCTTATGCATAACAGGTAGCTTTTAAGCATGGCTTGTGGTTAACTGGCATTAAATTTCAGGGACTGGACTAGGGTTGAAGAGGATTGTCGCAAGGCTATTCATCTTGACCACAATTCCGTCAAGGTTTGATTCTTTTGATCATATCAAGATAGCTCTCTTTTGCTCGGCGTGCTATATATCATGGAATCTATCAAGTTTTGCTTTGTTGTGCTCTTCTTCTTGTGTTGGCGTTTTTTGGTCCTTTCTCCTCCCTGATATGGGGATTGTTCACTTATGTTCTGTGGCAGGCCCACTACATGCTAGGACTTGCGTTATTGCAGAGGCAAGAATATGCTGATGGAGTCAAACAGTTGCAAAGGGTATGGATCCTTTTTTCAGCTGCACAATTTATCTGTGGACGTGATTTTTTTTTGCGCCATAACCTTGAGACCTAAGTAGTGTAGTTTCTAACTTCCAAGCATCTTAAAGAAGCGTATGGTATCACTTGTGTCTCCATATTTTTCTTTTGGAAGTTGTCTCAGTGGATGATACTATGAACACTGGTTTTAGTGAGGAAACCAACGAGGGATGGGTTAATTTGTTGAATTCATGAATTACTAAAAAAACAATAGTTTTGATAACTTCATGTGACTACGTTTCCTTTAGGCTTTAGATCTTGGAAGATGTGCAAATCCAACAGGATATATGGTAGAAGAAATATGGGAAGAGCTTGCTAAAGCAAAATACATGGAGTGGGAACTGGTTTCTGCGACACGCTCGTGGGAATTGAATAGCTTGAAGTAGGTTCTCTCTGTTTCTTAATTCGGTGCAGACGTTTTACCTGTGCTTTGCTGTGGCTTTATGGAACGATTCATGTTCGTCTTAGGGAAACTTGTGAGGCTGCTCTTAATCATCAACGTGCGTTAGATATGTCTCGAACAGAGGAGTCCTCGGAAGAATCTTATTATTCCCATACTGAGCGGTTGAAAGCTCTTGATCGAGTGTTTGAGAAAGCTGCAGAAGACGACAAACCAACTGAGGTGCATTAACTTTTCTTTAAAAGCTTTTTTTGTAAGAGCCCTCTTTTGTTCAAATCTGAGGTCAGTATCATTTTATTTCAGGTGCCAGATTATTTGTGTTGCAACATTACTCTAGAGATATTCAGAGATCCTGTGATTTCTCCAAGTGGGGTTACATATGAAAGAGCAGCAATCCTGGAACATATTAATAAGGTTTGCATTATCATCCACTCTTTGCTCTTTGTTATTTATTTGGTTCAGTCCTGTAAATGGTTTGGTGGTTTAAACAACTTTGCTAGGTGGGGAAGTTCGATCCAATAACGCGTGAAAAACTCGACCCATCAAAACTCGTACCGAATCTGGCTATCAAGGAGGCAGTGGCTGCGTATCTAGAAAAACACGTCTGGGCTTACAAAGTGGGTTGTTGATTCAAATGGGGCTTAGCAATACACACAAGGAAGCGGAAGAAACATCCGAGTTGAAACTGCTTAGTGACTTGAACAAAACAGACCTTTTACAGTTTCGTGTGATTGCCAATGTTTTCAGTGTCAGATTCTCTGTCGTGTATATATATATTTGTTTTACACACATTGCCAAGGAGGAAAGTCCAAACACCATAATCATGATGTAGCTTCTTCACAGTCTCATACTCCACACACACACTGAGTTTAGCTGTGAGAAGTCTCAGTCACGAACCTTATAATCTTCTCATGTCCTAGATTAGAGGAGTTAAAAACATAAAAACGTCAACTTTAATCAAGTTTTTAAACCACGGTTGTAGTCTTATCTCTTTTTCCACGTATCTACAACCGGCAGATTTAACCATTACAGTAGAGAAAATACACATCCCAACTTTAAAAAAAAAAAAAAAAAATCTGTAAAGTCACAATATATGGACTAACCTGCAATATATGTTTTTGTGTCTTGTCCATGAGTCCCTGAAAATTTATAACCATCATCTGCATTTTCCCTTTGCATGGTTTAGACTTTATAATTTATAATATTCAACACTCTATCGTCGAAGCTCTTTTTTTATCCGTGAACCAATCGGTCGGTAGGCCAAACTTGTCCATAGTTAAAAGTTCTAATTCAAACACAATAAACCACCCTTTTTTGGTCGCCAGCCCAAAAAGATTATGGATCTGAAATCTGGAAAAAAAATTAAAAAAAGAAATACTACTGATTACGATTGTAGTAGTAGTTATTGTTCTTGTTAAGCAATTCAGAAAATGCGGGGATTGATACAAATCAAGTAATGAATGATTTCTCAATTCTTCTGCCTAATAATAGGCGGAGATCTTGGGTAACTAATTTTATTGTTTCGACCCCCCAAAATAATAATAATACTATTTTCGGTTGTATATACGATTGTAGTGGGGACACGTAAAGGGGAAACCCTTACCCACCACTGTGGATTATTAGGATTCCTTTTCATCCCGTAGAACAAAAATCCATTTTATTGTAAATGTTACTTCTTGTGGATAAAAAGTTGGAAGAATCAAATTCTTTCTTTTCTTGGCTTTTCTGTGAAAGTTGGGTGAGGAAAACACCAAAGAGTGGTTTAGGACGAATCTATTATTCTATCCTCTCTGCTTTCCAACTTTCTCGACCTATCCGACCCGTAATTTATTACGAATCACGAGTTGTGGCAATTTCGTCATTCACTATTAACTTCCAAAGCGATCTAACACAACGAAGTCCATGTGATTTTATCATTGCTTACATACTGTACACATTTTTTCTTGTGATGCTTGCAAAAAAAAAAATATTAAAGTTGAAACCTATTCCGTCAAAAATATTTTTACATATCTAAAAATTATAAACAATCATATATTCTATCAGTAATTTATATATTAGCCTAGAAAAAGTTAATACAGTAGATTATGTAAAAACGTAGTTATTTATAGAAATAATTTAAGATAACTGATTTGTAATTAAAAAGATAACATACGGCAAAAGGAATAGGATCACATTACATTACATCACATATATACAAGTATAACAGAAATCACATCATGAATAATGAAAACTCGTGACTCTGTAATAAACTCTTTTTGAATAAGATTGAATTGTTTTGTGGTTCAGTGTGATGTGAAGAACACGACATGACAGCCTTTCTATGTATTTTAATATTTGTTTATTGTACAGGAAACAGACGAAAGCTACACAGTTACTTGTTGACCAAGGCGTTCCCAGCTGAGTAAAGCCAACATTGATTTTATTGATTCCCCAGAAAAACATGAAACGCAAAAACTATTCACACGGATTTTCTACTTACAACCTCATATACGAAAACCACATTTTATATTACTCAGATCCTAAAGATATGAATAATTTACAAAAATTCTCAAAGCCAAAGAAAGAAAAGCCAAATAAAAACAAAAGAGCATGGACTTAGATAATTTACATTGCGGATTTGAGGGCATTCTCTCAGGCTGTGTGAGTGAGATTCATAGCTTTTCTCAGTCTGTCCAGTATCCCATTTGCTTTCCTCTGTGCCCTTGCGGTTCCTTCACGCGCAAGCTTTGTTATGGTTCCATGAGTGTTCTCCTCTTCCTTAATATCCTTCCACTTTGTCCTGTCGCTGAAACATATAGTATGCAGTATCACAATCGCGTTCTCTTGGTTTCGCTTGCATTCGCTCTCTCGAGTTATCTTCAGCAACCAAGAAACCCCACCGACCTCACCCAACTCCTCCACAGCCTTCCAGTGAGTAACGAGCATCGCCAATATAGCCAAAAGCTCATCGACGTATAACCCATTCGAGATTTTCTTACCTAAAACCCTCACAGCTCCGTCCTTCACGGCTCTGCTCCTGTTCTCATGGGCAATGCACAGAGTGAATATCGCTGCAGCCACGTCTTTGATAGCCAACGGGTTCCCTTCTTCTAGGAGATCGATAAGCGGTTTCAGGATCCCTGACTTCCCTATAAGCACTTTGTTCGAATCGAGCGCAGACAGAGTGAAGATCGCTGCAGCTGCATTGCTTCTCGTGGCTACCGTTCCACGCCTCAATGCGTCGATCAGGAGAGGAATCACATTAGGGTTTTCGCAGACGAGCTTCTTGTTGCTGTCGTCATGTATGGATATGTTCAACAGTGTCGTGATCACATCTTCTTGAATAAGCTCGTCTGGGTTTGACCCGTGTAACAAGGGGTTCACTAAGCGGGTGATTTCGTCTGGAGATTCGCCAAAGAGTGCTCGGAACTCCGGTCCTTTCTTGGTCAGAAGTCTTAATTCCTTTGCAGCTGATTTTTGATCTTGGAGGTTCGAAGACGAGACTTTACAGAGCAAGGAATCGAAAATCTCACGATCTGATCTTGTGAAACCTTTCTCTTCATTAACAAGGTTGGATTGATACTGGTTCGTCGTCTCTAGCCCAACCTTGTTGCACCATTTTGAAATCATCTCATGGATTAAGAGATTGGGAGTTAAAGTTGTGTGAGGCAGAACTTGCTGAGTCTTGGGACATGTTCGATTGCCTGAGCTCAACCATTTCTGGATGAATAACTTGTCGTATGTCTGCAAAAACACACACAAAATGTAAAATTTCAATTCAGGTTTACTCATCTTCGATATCTACGGGATATTATCAAACAAGTAATAGACTTTTAAGAAGAAAATGCAGAATTATCATCAAAGATCAAATCTTTTGTTTATTTCCATGAAAAAGACTCCAGATTTCTCATTCTGAGGATTCAATAGGTCTGAATATCAATTTTACTGATTGTTTTTTTTCCAACCGTCACAAAGTAATAATTTCAGGAAACCTGAGGCTCCGAGTCGGATCTTCTCCGCCGGTCGAGAAAACCAGATGAAAAGTTTCAAGCCAATCAAAATCCCCCAAAAATCCAAACATTTCAGTCACACCAGCCTAACAGAGAACAAACTGAAGCCAACAAACAAAAATTTAAGACCCTAGACGGAAAAAATCAAATCAGAATGTGACGTCACTGACCTGACCAGAAGCCAAAACGACGGGATCCCGCATGAGCTCGTTGGAGAGAGGACAACGAAACTCATCAGGACAAGAAACGGTCTCGAGCATCTGCAGAGAAGAAGATTTCGCCATCTTCCTCATCGTCGCCTGTTTAAAGGCAGAGAGAGCCTCCTGCAACTGATCGATAGTCTGAACGCACAAATCATCCTCTTCCTCGATGTTCCTCAGCAGTTTCTTCATCTCACGCTTCAATGCCTTGGCCTTCGCAATCGCCGTCGGATCCGAATCGAAAACACCAGTCTTCGCCATCTCCGTCGGATCCACCGCCGGTACTCACCAAACCGTTCTCGGATTATGCTGCCGAATATTTTGAATTAATATCTCCCATTAAATTCTTTTTATTTTTCTCTGTGAAAGAGAGAGAGAGAGAGAGAGTCTATATTACTAATAAATATGAGGAGGAGGAGAGAAGAAGGGGAAGTGTTGTGTAGTGTAGTGCCACTATAATAGAATTGTGGCCTGCACCGAATTGGACACGTCATTATTCATTCGTGGTTTAGTACTTAAAAAAATATAAATTTTTAAAAATTTAATACAGCACGTATGACCTACCTCGCGACTAATGTGTCAAAATACAGCCGACACGAATAGTCTCTTCTCTTACGCTCATCATATCCACGTTACGGTCATTTTCCTAGCTATATAATTAAATTTTTACATGAATAAACAAAATATCGAACCATGTTTATATATAATAAGATGAGCAAGCAAACGGATTGAATGTTGTTAACTTGATCATCTTTCGAATTAAGATAAAACACTCAGAAAAATCTAAATTCTTGTTTCTATTGGAATTAGAATAAAAATGAGATATATTCTATACGTAGTGAAAGAGAAAATAGACAAAATCTACAACAATATTAATTAAAAAAAAAGAGAAACTTGGTAAAATCTCTATAGCTCTGATATTTCTGCAATTCACAACTTATAAATACTTTTGATATCTGTTTGTTACATTTCAGAATATTCTGCAGATATTTGGGGTGGGAAATTGATTATTTCTGTATTAACAAGGTTACATATTTATTTCTTAATGGGATAACATAATTTTTAAAGTCCTGAAAAACTATCAGATTTTTGTTTTTCAATTCGTAGCACAAAAGTATGCAAATTGTATAAATATAGAATGTACTAAATAAAATTAGAAAGGAAAGAAAGATGGTAAAAGGCGGCGAATAAGATTCGATGAGAAGAATTTTTTTTGGCATTTGGGAGAAGTGTGGGAAGAGTAGTAAGAGTGGGACCCATAGAGTTATTCCAACATGGCAACATGGGAACAGCTGTCTTTCCGCGTGGATTCTCTTGTACTCTTTCCCCTCTCTTCACTCTCTGACACTCTCTTTTTCTTTTATGACCTTTTTACCCCTGCCGTTTTTATGCATTTTTTTCTTCCTTTGTTTTCTTCCTTTGTTTTGTTCTTGTTAAAAAGAAATATGAATAATAGAAAAGAAACAAGTTTTATTATATAGCTTTCGACGCGTGATTGGATGAATTAACAACGTTGACCAGGAAGGTAAGATCTTGAAACTAACTTCTTTTTCTAGATTCATTTTTTCAACTTCTCATAACACTCTACTACGGACGGAGGAACAAAAGTCAAAAGTTCAGAAAACGACCTTTTTGCACAAATATATGAAACTGTAATTTGCAGACTTACTTGCCACGAATTTCACGTTAGTAATTTTGGCTACATGTGTTATTTGTTACGAAACTTACTTTCTGAAAAATTCGGTTTAGCTAACCAACCAATAACCATAAGAAGGTGGGTTATCCATGCAAAGAATCCGGGTTAGAATAGTGCTTACTGTTTAGGTTCAAAACTGAAGTTGTTCTAGTGAAATTAGAAACGTGTATGAATAATAATATTATATATAATTACGTATTTCTGAGAAAACTAGGGACCACTCATCTGCAAACACAGAATCTTACAAGTGCCAAGTTGGACTGCTGGTAGTAAATCAGCACTTAGCCCACGTGTCAATATCCAATGCCCTCATCATCTTCGTACTGTCATTTTTTCCCTGCTTTGCGAGACACCTTTGCTTTCTGACATTATTATTTTTGTTTTTATTTGTGTGATAACAACACTCTTATGAGTTTTTTTTTTTTTTTATCTAGAACAATATACATGTAGTTTCCAAATGTTTGGTAACAGAGTAACTGAATCTTTTGCAAACAAAGAAATATTTTATGAATCCTTGTGTAGATTCCTTTTCGTAGAATTGTCCACTCCACACAATGCAATAAGTTTTGTATCATGCGTATAATGCAAAACTACAAGATGAGATTTTAATCATTTTTTTCGTCAAATAGATTTTAATCATTTTATACAGTATAAATTCTTGACAATTTGACTACGTTGGCCTAATTAAATATACATATGCAGCCATGAACGCGCGTATACAAAAATAAAATAAACTAATAATATTATCCAAAATATTTAAAAAGACACGTACTATACAGCTTGATACTTATGTTTACACTTTTGGATATTTTTAATGTTTCTTTTATTTTGCTATAATATACTTGTAGTTTCGCAATTCTCGAGCTTCAATAGTTCCTCGCCACTGTTTGGCGTAATGTTGATTTAGAATCGGTTGAACAAAAAAGAGTTCAGAATGATTGACGAGCTCATTGCAAATATTTTAATGCATGCCAAAATTGTATTCACATGTTATTAGAAGGTCTTAAGCACTCACAACGAAAAGATTGTAACAACGCTCGATTTTTACTGGTATGTAGTGATTGAAAAGTCCAAGTATACTTCAAAAGCCGAAGATATCTTATGGATTGTTGTGTTGTGGATGTCAGATTCGTATTTGTATATTTTGTTTCTTACATTGAAAATAAAAATTCTTTTAAAAGCACATATCTTAGAGAAGATCATTTATGAAATTTGGACGTACTTGGAAACCAATTAAAATGTTGTAAGATAGAAGACAAGACCAATAATTGAGAGAAAAATAAATATAATTGTCATATTATTATGTTATGTGGAACATACATAACGGAGGCCCATTTGATACATATGTTTTTCTTTGTCAACAACCCATATGTTTTGTTTTTTCCTTTTTTTTCTTTTTACACACCAATAATCTTTACGTTATCGCTTCGTTGGTACAATATTTTTAGAAATACATTTTGAAGTTTCTTGTTAATATTTTGTACGTAGAGAATTTTATTAAACATGGTCCATAGGGTTGGATAAACTCAAATCGTTGACATGTGATACTTCTTTAGGTTGATAGTATTAGTGATACTAGACTGAAGAAGAGCTAGCTCTTCAAATAACTTTCCAACTACTGATGAGAACGCAAAAAATGAATACATTTATAAAGTATTGAATTGGTAACATTTTCACGTTTAAGTGGGAGCATAAATTGAAATCTTGACCCAAAAAAAAATATACTTGGTTGTTTTCAAACTTGGACTTAATTATTTTACATGTACCGTCAAATGCTAGCTCTGTAGAGCAAGAACAATGCACATTCGAATGTTTATATGAGCCAAAATCTGTTCTAAAACCCTGTTAAAAAATATTTATACATCTATTCGCAATGGTTATGAGAATATCGATTCCCATAATCCTTTTATGAATGAAGATGTAACAGGCAAAAGAAATGCAATGGGGTTAAATGTAGTAAAAAAATAGAAAAAAATTGATATGTGGGGTTGAAGTCGTATAGGGCCTATAGGCCTCTGTTAAAGGAAAAAAGGTGTAATTATTAAAGCCGAACAATTCCAATTGATAATTAAAAAAACCACATTCGTATAGGTTGGTGTAGAAAGCCCAAGAGATATAGAAACTTGACCTTGAGGCCCATTTGCTAATAATGGAAGGGTTTTGTACGCGGACGAGATACTGAAAGATGGGTTTTGCCTGAATATGATCGAGACTCCTCTGTGTCCTTTGAAAGTCGTGACTAATCTGCAGGAGGCTGTTTGGGATGCTGATATCGTCATCAATGGTTTGCCATCGACCGAGACTTTCCAGGTGTTCAGTGAGATTAGTAAGTACTGGAAGGAGAGGGTTACAGCTCCTGTCATCATCTCTTTGGCTAAGGGTGTGGAAGCAGAGTTTCATCCTCATCCTCGGATTGTTACTCCTACTCAAATGATCTATCGAGCCAGTAACCTCCTCACTTTCCCTTACCTGATTTGTTGTTGTTGCTGGTCATTGAAGATGTTGATTGTTATATATATACTTGTTTACAGCTAGTGTTCCTCTTGAGAACATTCTCTACCTTGGAGGACCTAACATCGCTTCCGAGGTTTACAACAAAGAGTACGCTAATGCACGGATCTGCGGGTCTGAGAAATGGAGGAAGCCTTTTGGGGAAGTTTCTAAGGCAGACTCATTTCATTGTGTGGGATAACAGTGACCTTGTTACTCATGAAGTCATGGGTGGTTTGAAAAATGTTTATGCCATTGGCGCAGGTAAGGGGATCCATATCTCTGAATTATATTAGCTACTCAGAAGAAAACATCAAAGCTCATGAACCAGTATTTGTTTTGTGTCCATAGGAATGGTGGCTACACTGACAAAGGAAAGTGCTACCAGCAAGTCAGTGTACTTTGCGCATTGTACTTCAGAGATGAATTTTATAACTCATCTTTTGGCCAAAGAGCCAGAGAAACTTTCAATATGTCACGTCATTTTTGTTTTCTTTTCTTTTTTTCTTAATAAACCTATAAAAATTTTCACCAATAGATATTCAATTAATTTTTGAAGAGTTTTGTTAGATTTGGAAAAAAATTATACATTTATTTTTTTTAAATGTAATAAAGTTTAAGAATTTTAGGTATATTAATTTAAAAATTTTGTTTTATGTATTAATTTGTTTAAAATACATGTTATAATAATAAAAATTTAATAAAAAATTATAATTCATATTTTTTCAATAACAATTAATTTTGTTAATTCTTAAAATCAAAGTGCCACCTCTATTTATTGACACTCAAAAATTTTGAAATGTGAACGTTAACAAACACATGCTGTAACATAATTTGAAAGATTTAAATGTGATAATGTAATCGTCAAAATCCTGTTATCCCATAAATCAAAGCTAATAATTTGTTATCAGAAATTTCAAAACTTGAAAATTTGTATGAAAAAACTTTTGAAATTGATATACTGACCCAAATTCAGATATTCATTGTACAACTTGTGTACATTTATTCGAATATTTTACTCTTGACTAATTAGTAATCATCCGAAATATTATCTTTGTGGAAACAAGTTATAACGAAAAATCCAATAATTTTTTCTCTCAATTTTTTTACCTTCTTTCACCATTCAAGGTGCATCGAGCTAGGATGACCACAATAACATATACGGAATGCTTAGGTTCCTCCCTGAAATCAAGGGAATTAAATGAACATAGGCTCCAGAAATCAAACAAAACAAAACAGGTAGAAAAAACTTACAAAAGTTTACAGTTGCACAGTTGACAAAAG